CTATAGATGGCTTGTATGTGGCTTTGGGTAAATACTGATAGCATGGATTAAAAACCATAGTTCTGGGCTGGCTTCATGAAATGCTTGCACCTAGACAGTTATAGTAAAAATAATAAAGACAGGATATAAATAAATTAATTATGATTAAGCAGCACATTTTGCAGCCTGGTGTACAAATGCCACAGTTGTGACATTTAATACAGAAAATAGAATGAAGTTCTAATGTGAAAGTGAAATTAGTTTTAACATAAAACTGTTTCTTCTAATCATAGTGAATTTATTCTGCACCATTTTTTGAACCAATCATGCATTTTGGACCAGCTACCATAATCCTTGGCCACCAAGGCTTTTGATAGTAGTAAATTAAAATTCAAGCTGAAAGGCATCAGGCTGGGAAAAGTTGATCTAAAAAAATTAGGGTACTGGTAGCCCTAAAATTTAACATAGTACTTTCAAATCCTTTATGTTAGATTGGGAAGAAGTCTGTTTAATTTTTACATTCATACTTTTTTTTAATTATTAAAAGATTTTGTGGGACATTGAATCGAAGAATAAGATATCGGTTCCTACTGATTCATGCCTTTGATGGATTTTGTTCTCAGTTCACTAAGAAGTATGGTTCAGTTTTCACTATCTGGCTAGGACCAAAGCCGGTGGTTGCGATTTGTGGATATGAAGCAGTGAGAGATGCCTTGGTAACTTATAATGAAGAATTTAGTGGACGACCACCTATACTTCTCCTTACTGAAATAACCAAGGGCTATGGTGAGTGCACAGATTATTTTCACTTTGATTTTAGATGTAGTTTCCAGATCCAGTTATCCTTATAGAGGAAAGATAAAAACATTAATTTTCCTAGACAAGTGACAGTGGCCAATATTCTTTTTAAGGAATGAAAAATAAAATAGCTCTTGGAGACAAAAGCATACAAAACTCTTTTGTCATGTTGTCAAAGAATGCAATAAGATTTGCCTGGCATAATCTGTTTTTGACAATCCCATGTTGTTTCTGACAATCCCATGTTGCTTGCCTCTAGGTTTTTGCAGATTCTGCTTGATTTTCTTTTCCAGAATCACTACAGATATTGGTGTCAGAATGATAGATCTGTAGTTTCCTGGATCCATTTTTTTCTTTTTTAAAAATGGGAACCATATCAGCTCTTTTCCAGTCAATTAATACTTCTCCTGTGCTCCAGGATTTCAATACCAAACCTGTAACATTGAGCAATACTGAAGCTCTCAAATCTCCATGGCTTTTCAAAAGGCTGCAAAACACGTTGGAGTCCCAGATACTATTTGCAAATCTACTTTGAGGGGGTGAATTGATTTAAAATGTGTTGAATAGAAGCACTCTAACAAAGCTATGCATAGCCTTACAAATTAGACTTAAACCCTTTAAGGTTAATAGTTTGGAGGTAGGTGGTACAATCAGAAGGCCTTTTCAGACTTTACCAGTAATGCAGATGGAGACGTCGGATCAAGATTTTGTCACTTGCAGTACCACCTCCCAAGCTGGAGATTGCGTAATATGTACAGTAAGTGGAATGTTCATTAAAATAGTCTACAAACTATTATTTGTCCTGGATGTTGTCATTATCTTACTGTCAAGTTCCAGAACTGAAGATTTAAAATTTCAGGAAATACTAGACAACCTGCGTCTCACTGGGTCATTGTTTCAAAGATATTTTTTTACCTAAACAGAGAAACAGAATGACCACATTCTGCAAAAGGCAGTGGGAGTGGGAGCCAATTCCTGCTGGCTTCCCCATTGAGTTTCCTGGTGGGAAGCTTGCAGGAAGTGTTGGAAACCTCCCTCTCTCCCTTCTTCCCATTCCTGCTACCATCCCCATTTATTTTGCTTGTAGGAGAAAGTCAGTGGGGAAAGCAGGTGGAAGTTGGAAGTCCAAGATAAGTGGCCACTTCCATGTTGGGGAGGGTGCATCAGAAAGTGGATGGGTATGAAAAGTGCTGCACAAGTCAGAGGATTATGGGGGTACACATGAGTAAAGGATGGCACACAGGGGGCACACAAGAAGTGATGCAAAGATCAGGGAGAGCAGCGTGGGCTAGGAAGAGCAAATAAGAGTTCCTTCTTCCCTATTCATGCCTGCCTCCTTTCCTTCCCTGCCTCCCTTCTTTTATCCTTCCCTTTCCTCTTCCTCTTCCCCTTCCTCTTCCTCTTCCTTTCTCCTTCCCTTCCTTTCCCACCAGGGAGGTATGTGTAATGCTGGATGGGCAAGGGAGTGAGAGATTGCCAAAGTGGCTAGGAAACTGTCAGAGAAATGTTGAAAATGAGATTCATGTGATCTCTGCAGCACAGTCACATCACTGAAATGGGGCTTCCCTAAATTTCATTCCTTTGGAAGTAATGGGTCCCAGCATTCGGTAAGATAGGCCATTTGAGTTGATAGGCCTCAGATAACCAGGTCCCAAACATTTATTGACAATGTTTGCCCTCTGATTCAAGATTTTGCCCATTTAGAAGTTACACACATGAGAGGTTTGGTAGTATAAAGAATGAAGTAGTAGAAAATAACAGTTTTGTTTTTCAAATATGGTTTCTGTTTATGTATGTGGGTGGGAAGCTGGTAAATAGGAATACTGAGAAAAATAAAAGCTCTTCTGTACTTTTTAAATGTTCACACAGTTTGTAACTTTACGCAAAATATAATCGGAATAAGGAGAGTGCAAACTCATGCGCAAATTGGATTTTTTTTCCTTCTACCACACTAATAATAACTCCTAGGGAAAGAAATGCATGTTTACTTTTACATTTTATTTACTTATTTATTTAAAAGATTTATATAGCTGCCCACTCACTCTCAGTGGCTCTGGGTGACTTAAAAACAATAAAAACCCAATTTAAAGAATAAAAAACAATACCCTGCCCCCCCCCCCCCCCCCCCCCCCCCCCCC